AATTTCATTATTTGGTGTCTTGGTGGCTAGCTTCTTGAGTTCATTGTATATTTTGGAAGTCAGCCATCTGTCAGATGTGTGGTTGATCAAGTTCTTTTCCCATTCTGTGGGCTGTTGTTTGTCTTTCTGACTGTGTCCTTTGCCTTACAGAAGCTTCTCAGTTTCAGGAGGTCCCATTTATTAATTGCAGACCTCAATGTCTGAGCTACTGGCGTAATGTTCAGGAAGCAGTTTCCTGTGCCAATTTGTTCAAGGGTATCTCCCACTTTCTCTTCTAGAAGATTCAGTGTGGCTGAATATGTTGAGATCTTTAACCCATTTACACTTAAGTTTTGTGCATGGTGACAGATATGGATCTATCTGCAATCTTTGCATGTCTGAATCCAGTTGTGCCAGGACCATTTGTTGAAGATGCTATCTTTTTTCCATTGTATAGATTTAGCACCTTTGTCAAAAATAAGGTGTTCGTAGGTGTGTGGGTTAATATCAGGGTTTTCAATTTGATTCCATTGGTCTACCTGTTTATTTTTGTGAGATCTTTCCAACTTCTGGTATCTTCTTTAATTTCTTTCTTTAAAGACTCAAAGTTCTTACTGTATAGGTCTTTCACTTTTTGGTTAGCATTACCCCAAGATATTTTATGTTGCTTGTGGATATTGTGAAGTGTGATGTTTCTCTGATTTCTTTCTCATTGCATTTATCATCTGTATATAGTAGGGCTACTGAATTTTTTGTTAATTTTGTATCCTGCTACTTTTCTGAAGATATTTATCAGCTGTAGGAGTTCCCTGGTAGAGTTTTTCGGGTCACTTATGTAGACTATCATATCATCTGCAAATAGTGAAAGTTTGACTTCTTCCTTTCTGATTTGTATCCCTGTGATTTCTCCTTTCTTGTCTTATTGCTCTAACTAGAACTTCAAGTCCAATATTGAAGAGATATGGAGAGAGAGGACAGTCTTGTCTTGTTCCTGATTTTAGAGGGATTGCTTTGAGTTTCTCTCCATTTAGTTTGATGTTGGCTGTGGTTTGCTGCATATTGCTTTTATCATGTTTAGATATGTTCCTGTTATTCCTGTTCTCTCCAAGATCTTTATCATGAAGGGATGCTGGATTTTGTCAAAGGCTTTTTCAGCATCTAGTGAGATGCTCATGTGATGAGATAGATCATAGTCTGTAAGACTAAGGTTTCTTTATTCAGATAAACAACAGCCAAGCGCAAGCCAAAGTGTGCCCAGAGCTTGCAAGCTACCATGGCCAGAGAGAAGGGAGGGCTCCCACGTGTCTGCCCCCTTAAGAACTCCCCATGCATCATCCTGCACCCCTCGACCAGGCCTGACAGGCATGGTCAAGCATACCTGTCTCCGGCCTATGGGAGGCCTGGCTACGGTGTCTCCCTATAATTCCCTTTTTACTCTAAGAGAGGGTTAAAACTTAATAGTGTAAAAAATGCAAAATTAACAATCATAAAGGTGAAATACAAGACGATACAATAATCTGCTATTGTACATCTTAACTATGTCTATACCAACTAAGGCCTAAAGTCATGAGGAAAGGGTGTCTAACTTGAACACCTCCTTCCAATTCCAACTCTAAACATTAGGAAAGTTATTCCTAAATAGACTTACACCACCCTAATAGACAATAATGGGGAACAGGGGCATAGCATCTTCCAAGTTACTTCCTGCTGAAATAGGACGCTGGTAGGTCCTGTGTGAAAAAATGTTAGCATAGGGAGTCTCTATTGGGTTATCTCCAGTCCATGTTACATGGGATTTGCTTGATTGAAGATCTAGGTTGAAATCCTCAACTTGATTGAAGTCAGTACTTGAGGTTCTGGTCAGAGTGTCAGTTGAAATGGAGTAAGTTGAATCCAGTGCAGTCGGAGAGGTATGGCCCAATTCTTTTTCCGGAGCATGCAGGGATTGTCAGCAGGTGGGTCTTCATTGGCTGTATGGGACTCAAACAAAAGTGTCAGCAGAGAAATGTTTGCTGGCACATGTATGTGTACTGGGAAAGGCAACCATTGAAAAATGACAATTATGAGAGGGTGTAGGCCTTGAAAGAAAGAGCCAAGAAAAGACAAAAGATGGTCCTCAAATTCTTCATTTATTTTGTATTACATCAATTGGATTCTTGATATAACACAGAAACGTTAAAATTTTGTTAAATAACATGTTTGGATTTTAGAGGAGAAAAGCCAAATGCCCAGAACTGTTATAATATTTGAAGAACTGTTCCATTTTTGTGGAGACATATGTTGGCGCATTGTCATTTTTTATCTGTGCAGGTATGGCCATAATTGCCATCACCTCTAGTAGGTGTGTAATAATGGAAACATCTTTTTCAGAGTTGAGACCAGTAGCCCATTGGAAACCTGAAAATGTGTCAATGGTGTGATGCACATATTTCAAATTTCCAAATTGTGTAAAGTGAAAGACTTCCATTTGCCAGATCTCATTCCTCTGAATGTCTTTAGGATTACAACCTGCTGGCAATGGAGTTTGATTATAAAAGGAACAAGTAGGACAGTTTCTCACTATATCCTTGGCATTTGCCAAGTGATGGAGAAGTCCTTTTTCAAACCTTTGCTATTTACATGATGTTTCTTATGAAATTCTGAGGCTTCTAGCACACTTCCAATTAATAAACGATCAATCTCATCATGGCCTTGTGCTAGTGGGCTTGGCATCCCGGTATGGGATCTAATATGCATAATGTACAGAGGATTACTTCTGTTTCTGATTGTTTTCTGTAATTGTAGGGACAACGAGGTTAGTTCAGTATTATCAGGGATGAATTCTGCAGTCTCTATGTGTAAGACAACTTTCTCCACATATTGGGAATCAGTAACTATGTTAAGAAGTTTTGTGAAATCCATAAGCACCATGAGAATTGCATGTAATTCTGCCTTCTGTATAGATGTGTATGGACTTTGAACTACTTTACTTACCTCACCTGCTTTATAA